GATTTCTGCTGCTGACTCTCACACACACACGTGTCCAAAGGGTGAGGTATGGCCTTTTCCTTACTATTCTATACTAACCGATCAACATGTAGTGGTTACTGCAGGGAGTCGCATGCAGGCTGCAGGTTTTTTGTCCGACACTACAGCAGCTGACTGTTGCTTTGCAATTTCTCATACACGCTGTTGCTCCTACTCAGGGGTGGCTACAGAGATTCTGATTGTCTGATGAAGAGTTATATTGCTGGGAATGTCACACTCCTGGACTGCCATTCTTGTTTCAGTCACTGTCAGGTTCATAAAACCTTCCACAAGGTGACTATTAAATATACAAAGTCACTTTAGTAGAAGATATTCCCCCATTTCAGAGCAAGTCCTGTTTTTGTTACTTTACACCAGTTCTCTTCTGTCTGAGCTTCTCTGGTGTTCAAACAGTTGCATTCCACTGAACAGCAGCACCGTCGGTCAGCGCTGGTTGGGGGCCTTTGTTGCTGTCGTACCGTGACTGGAGGAGAAGGTGAATCAAGACAGTGACAGGACCTATGACAATGCTGCATCAAGGTTAGACATCAGCCTGATGATAAATAATGCAGTGCCATCGCTCCTACTTCCTGCTTTTGTCAGTCTCACACCTGTCACTGTTTGCAATGTGTGTTTCAACATGTACCGGTATATTATCTGGAACAAGGAGCTGCTTTTTGGTTGTGTGGAGGTTCTTGGGCAGATCAGCTGGTGTCGCTAAAATGACTTTCTAAATCCCAGTAAAGCCCCCTCCTCTTTGCCCCCCTCTGTAACTGTTGCTGCCCTGACCTGCAGGGTTGGAGAACCCCCCCAGCAGGCTAGAGGTGGTGGCAGGTTGTTGGAAGCCCCAGACCAGAGCAGCAGGCCTTGCAGGGCCCAGGCCCCCTGGCCACACATGTGTAGGTCCCAGGAGGCTTGTTATCCCTCCCAGCGATGTCAGGGGTGCCAGCATGGGGCTGGAGGGGAAAGGCTGGTGGAGTCGATGCAGGTGGTGGGCCTGCAGGAGGCTAACGCCCCCGAGCTGTGGAGGATTCGACAGTCTCGGCTGGAGCTGTGGTTGCTCACTGAGTTGCTGCTGCTGGTTGCTGTGTTGTTGCAAATGTTGCTGTTGGGGCAGAGCATGATTCACTTTATCCAGCTGGCCTGTTACCGTGGCGATACTTCCTTTCACGGTGGCACTACTTCCTGTTACTGTGGTGCTACATGTTGTGCTGTTCCCAGGTGGTGCTCCCTCTCCTCTTATTGGCTGTTCCTGGCCTGATGGTGTGTCTCTACAAAGAGAAAACATGATGAACATCTGGGCAGATTTATGATCTTGGTTTCCTATTTGATCAGACAGTTCTTAATTTAAACCACAAGTGTATTTTAGTTAGTAGCACTGTATGTGTTTAGACAACAGTTTCTTTTGTTCAATAAAAATAGGTTTCTAAAAATATGACTATTTCCCAAAGTGAGTAGCTGTGGTATTCTATCCCTTTGCTTTATGAATTTCCCAGTGTGGGACTAATAAAGGTTCTTATCTTATTTAAGGTATTAAATAGGCAGTGCTGCTGAAAAAGTCTAGACGATATCCAGCTCTTGTGGCTATAATTTAGAGTGTTTCAGTCAGGTCTGTTCAGGTTAATTTAAAGCAGCAGACATAGTCCAGACCTGCTAAACATAGCAAGGTGACAGACACAGAACTGCCCAGCAGCTTGTTAACAGATTAGATGTTACAGATTTGGTCTCATTAAAAACTAGACTGTAGAAAAAAAGGCATCAAACTAAAACATGTTCCATTTACTGACCTTAATCTGCTGCCCTCTACAGAACAGGAGGGGGTACCAGAGGAGGATGCACCATGCTTAGGAAATGCAGGTTCTTCTTGTTGATTAACTTTCTCTCTCCTGTCACTGGTCGAGTCTGCCTGGTTGCTTGGTCCTGTCACTGCAGCTGTGTTTTGACTGGACACCAAGGTGTCACTAACACACTTTCCTCCCACCACCCCCACCACTCTACCTGGAGTACCATCTTGCTGATCTCCAGCCGCCGCTCCTCCTCCTCCGCTGCCGCCACTCCCCCTCCTCTGTCCCTCTGTGGAAAGCTCTGCTCTGTCCCCCCTCCTCCCCTCCCCTTCCAGCTCCGGCTGTAGTGAGGAGTGAATTAAGTCCAGAGTGGCCGCCACTGCTTTCCTGCCAGGAGTGAGTTGGTCTAAGGCCGCAGGACCTCCCTGAACTGAAGGAACAGGGGTGTGACCGCTACCTGTATGAACAGGATCGAGAAGAAAGCTATTGTGGGGGTTGATGCTACACTCCACCTGGGAGCCCGATAGCTGCTGCTGCTGTTGTGCCTGACGCTCAGCCCGCAGATGTGAAATGGCCAGTTGCAGCACTTCATAGTGCCTGTGTGAAGGTGGTGGCACAGCGTCCTTATAGGAGGCGTCTGGGACAAGCTGGTCAGAGACGTGGGGGTGAAGGTCGAGGCCAGAGTCAGGTTGTTGGAGGAGGCTTTGAGCTTGGTTACTGGAGAAGGGATGGATGTGTTCGGAGCCTGAAACAGAGTCACCATGACTCAGCTGCCTGTCGAGACCTGAGGACAGAGGAGAGCTGTCAGTACAGCACAGAGAGACAACAGAACATGAACGCCAGGCAACACCAATATGGACTTATGAAGGTTTGTGAAGCTCAAGGGTCATGCGTTATAATCAAGGTATTTATTTTTTAACTGGATTTTTGTATCTTCTAATTAAAATAAAACTAACTTTTGGCTGCCAACAGGTCATCCATGATTGGCTGCTTGTCCCTGATGTCATGGTAACCAACCAGTCCAGTGAAGTTGTGCAGAATTTTTTCAATACCAGCTACAATGATGCCGCTACTGGAGTAGGCAGTGAACCTCTCATGATGATGCTCTGATAAACAGAAAAAAGGCAGTAACATCAGTGCAGGTGCTGAATCTCAGCAGCTCATCAGGTAATCACCGAGTCATCCGGACCTCCAGCATGGCTGACACGCACGTACCAGTCAGGAAGATTGTGTGCCTGTACTGTGTGTATCGGGCCTGGAGCTCGATGATACAGTCCAGGTCAGGTGACTGATGGTTTATCATGTCGCAGTGATGATAGGGGAGGAACTCAACAATCTGCCGCTTCTGGTAGGCTGACAGCAAATCCAATAGGCTGGCTGCATCTCTCCTGAACCTGACAACCAAACATACACACACATTGAAAAGACAGATGTTGACAAAAGACCTACAAAGACCTGCTTTGTCCAAGAGTCAAGGAACCAGGATGTTTTACAGGTGCAAGGCCTGACATGGACTAACTGCTGTTCATGAGTTGGATAAAAACTTATCAGGGCCTGTTGAGCTGATGTCTATAGCCAGCTGCATGTAGTGTGTGTGTGTGTGTGTGAGGACGCGTTTTTCCTGCTACGTGGGGACTTCTTCCTGACTCCATACCAACTCATGAGGACCCATTTCACAGTGGGGACCTAAATTGAGGTCCCCATGGGCAAGAAACTGAATTTTAGGGTGGCAACATGGTTTAGGGTTAGGATGAGGTTAGGGTTAGGTTAAGGTTAGGGTCTGTGTGTGAGGGGGGGAGTGAGTGAGGGAGGGGGAGAGAGAGAGAGAGAGAGAGAGAGAGAGAGAGAGCCTATACTAGCTTTAGACCCTGTGAAGTGCAACTGGTGTGAAATCCTTGGCTTTGCCTGCATGACTGGCTCATTTTGCATAAAAAAGGAAAACAAAACTCACAACCCATGTTGTAAGAGTCAGACACTCATGCAATCAGTGTGATATTCTATATCAGTGTCTGCCCTCATGTAACCATTGTGCTATAGTGTAGGCCAATTTTACAGTGCAGACAAAAAGAGTACCTGGCTTGCTCTTTTAATTTCTTGTGGGTTTTGCAGTGAACCTTCCACTTCCAGACACTCTCCAGGGAACTGTGCTCTTCCAGGAACATCAGCAGCGCTGCCAGTTGATCTACAACATCCCAACAATTAGCACATGAAATAAATAGCAAAATCATTTACTAATAGACTGATGCAAACATCCACAGAACATTTCTTGCACAAGAACACTATTTTTCAGTAAAACAAAACATTACTACCTGCGAATAAGATTCTTAATATTTGTTAGTGGACTAGTCTATGACAAGAAAAAGTGTAAACAAACAAATGTTCCATTACAATAATCTAAAAATATATTTTGCTGGCTCATTACTGGATGTGAATCCCTGACCTACCATGAGTGATGAAGTCTGGATTGAGGATTAACTCATCTGAGACAATGCAACCTCCAGACACAAAGAGCTCGTTGTAGCTGTTGTTCCTGATGTCGTCCAGTGTATCGATTCCCACAAACACCACAGAGGGGTGTTGCTTCAGAGACACCAGGCCTGGGATCTGATACGTACAAAAACACACTTCTCCTGTTAATCTGTTTTCAGCTTGCCTTTTTAATAAGAATTGATTATCTGTCCAACACAGACAGTCGGTACTAGTTGGTGAATTCCTTCCAGTGGCAGTACACAAAGGGGGAGATTTACTAAGGGTTTGCGACTTATTTTTTGGGACTGGACAGTGAAGTTAAGTGTGTTCTTGTTCACAAAGGAGTCAATTTGGTTTTGCACTGGAAAAAAGGAAGAGCAGTTCTGCTGGAAGTTGTACAGTTCAAGGCGTTCCCATTCAGGGATGCAAAATAATTCATTTCTACCGCTTAATCCCTGAACGGGGTCACGAGGGGGGGGCTGGAGCCAATCCCGGCCGGCAATCGGGCAAAGGTGGGGTAAACCCTGGACAGGTCGGATGCAAAATAAGTGAGAAGAAATTTATACAATAAATACCCCCAGCACAGACTGATGCTGCAGCACAAGGAGCTGGGGCCCAAGAGAGAGGGTGATCAAAAAATGAAACTAAACTGAAACCAAAAAAATTCACCTGGTCCTTATCTTATTGTGATTACTGAATAAAAAATGGTAAAACTCATAAGAACTATGTGCCTACACAGCAGATGTCATGTGCACCTGAATACTGTCCACAATGGCACAAGTTTGATCTGAGGAAATTCTCTCCTGAGACCTTTTGCGGTTGGAGAGAATGAGACACACCTATACAGACAGGTTTGGTTTGTGCCAATCCCCAAGGACTTCAGGCCTCCAATTAGTTAGCATGCACATATGGCCTTGGCCTCGCTCGCTCCCACCCTACAGTGAGATGGCTGGCACCGCCTATAAAACAAACTAATCACACAGGTGTCTTAGTTGGTTTGTGGCATGACAGCTGCCAAGGGTTAGAACATCTGACATCCAAATCAACTAGGACCAATGGCCTGAGAGCTTTTGTACCTGCAGAGAGTACAGGGTTAACAATAAACAAGGAACAAAGAAGCCAAATGTACTCAAAATGCGCAGGACATTCAAATAAGGTGTGGGTCTGTGCAGAGCAGGATAACACACATCCACCTTGTTACTGCCACTGGCAGCCAAGACAGTCAGAACAAACATAGTTGTTACACTCAACATTCAGAAGGACCTTGTGGATGTGTCCAGCGATGTCTTTGTTTTTAATGATGACCAGCAGTCTGTTGTCAGGGTCTTCTTGGTTCAGAAAGGCCCCAGGAGACTGTTCCACGTTCCCCTGCTTCAACAAGTGCTCCTACATCATTAGAGGATACACACACACACACACACGATGGATATACACAAAGACATACTGATTGGATCTGGCTGGAATGCTGATGAACTGGACTCTGAGTCTTCTAGTTTAGGCACAATTAAAGTTGATTAGGTTTAAAGTTCTTAACAGCAACAACAGTGCCTGCTCACTAATCACACTTGTAATAATCTGTACCGAAAAGTGTGTTACAATCATGAGATACAGGGCAGAGAAATGAAGCATTTAACAACAGCATCAGCCAGGGCGTTGGCCAGCATTGGTAAACAAAACAAAACAAGACATTCACAAGTTCACCTGCAAATCATGTAGTGTATTTATTTTACATGCACTCTTGAGACAGGTTTCAGGTTGTGAAAGCTTTGCCTCTCTCTCGGATTGGGGTTTGGCCACAAGCTAATTAAACCTGTCAAATCCCACCTCTAACCAAATTAAATTTATTTTTAACAGTATGCAAGATGAGGGTCTAAATATAGACTAGGACAAGACTAAAACTTGAATTATAGGCTCAAGGGCTCAGAGCAATGGTGACGTACAGTAACGCAAGCTTCGATGAGTATAGGTGTAGCCCTCTAAGAGCTGTCACTATTGGGTTTATCCCTCACGCATGTGCAGTCCTGAAGAGATTTCTCTCGTGCCCTGTACTGGGCTGTCCCCACTTAGGTCCGATGTCGTGGCGTAAATGCCAATGTGACCTGAGTTTGGTTCCTTATGCCAGCGCTTTTTCTTCAGCTGGCAGGGGTAGAGACAGCGAGGCTGCCGGCTTAGAGGGCTATGCCTATAGTCATAGAAGCTTGGGTTACTGAATGTAACCATCATACTACTTCGTATAGGCTTCGCCCTCTAAGAGCTGTCGCTATTGGATAAAAGCACAGCTGGATGTAGTCAATGCCCTGCTGGCTCACTGCTGCCAAAGAGCATTGTAAACATCTCAGCTTGTTGGTATATCCCGCAATAGCAGCCCAAGTACAACATCCTCTCTCCTGCAACAGACCTTGTCTGAGAAGCAGACACAATCATGCCCCATATAGAACCTGACTGCCACTGTGAGAAGGCAGGGATGGCCGTTAATGTTCATCAGAGGAGAATAAGTGCAGGGAAGGGCGCGCTGACAAAACGCACAGATAATAGGTAGAAGGCAGAAGCGAGTGAAAGGACATGGGAAAGCCCAGGAGGCTGCTGTACAAATGTCTTCCACAGCCATCCCCCAAGATTGCTGTGGAGGATAAAATAGCACTTGTGGAGTGAGCTCTCATGCCAGGAGGGGGACCTCTCCTAGCTGACACGTATGTCTGTATGATGGGCTCACACAACCAGTGAGACAGCCACTGCTTAGTCAGGGGCTTCCCAAGAGAATGCTCCCTGTAATGCACAAACAACTGCTGTGTTTGTCTGATAGTTGTCATGCAGGCCACATAATGGGACAGTGCGCGAACTGGACAGAGGGCATGGAGCTCTCTTTCCGACTCCTCGCCGTGTGGAGGAAGAAAGACTGCTGCTAGAAAAATCAACACTTATGCCAGTTGGCATAACAACAATAACAAAACCAACTCAATAAAGAGAGAGAGGTTAACCTTTTTAGGAATTTCATATCGATTTTAAAAGAAGATGCTGCATAGCAATAAGGCAAAACATTAAAATCCTCAAAAGTCATTTTGACTGGCTTACAACTAAATAAAACTATTTCAAAATATCAACCTAAGCTATTATAATTTTCCTTGCTGGATTCTGGTAGTTATTGAACAATTCAATTGTCCCTCATTGACTTCCCGCTCTGGGTAGTGGCTCTACCTTCTTCCCATCCCTTCCTTTGGGGGGCCTGTAGGGGAGAAGCCACAACTGAGATGTCCTTTCAGCCTGCCTTTCTTCAGTCTGACAGCTTTAAACCTCGGGCGTTTAAATCGAGTAGATGTCAAATAGTTTTCATAACTCTCTTTATATTGCGGTTTGGATGGACCCCCTCAGTCATCTCTGGGTTTACAATACGTTCTCTCAATCTATAACTCACTAGGGTTTGTTTATTTACAGTATCTTAGTTTCTGTATACTGAGGTTATTATATTACAATTTAACAGAATCTTCTAAATTAAAGTTAGCCCTTGATTTTATTGATGGATTAACTGTAAAAACTAAAATATTTACAGGGTTGTATGTCATCAGGCACCCATGCTCACCTACTCAAATGACTCATACACTCTGAACTATGCCATCCATGATATTACCTTGACGTCTTCACACAGCTGGTCCCCCGGCTCGGTGTCGTGGAGGTAGAAATTCAGGGAGTTTTTCCTGACGTCTTTGATGATCTTGAGAAGGCTGCTGAACACCTCTGGCTCCAGCTGGCTGATCACAGAGCTCAAGGCTGTGGCCGGTGGGGTGGGACCTGTGCCAGGCCCAGGGATGGACACAGGGACAGAGCTGGAGACCGGTTCAGATGAGCACGAAGACTGTGCCAGGTTGTTAGATACACCACTCAACCCTGGTAAAGTCACCTTGCAGCTTGAACCTACAAGACTGCTGCCAGCTTCAACATCGGTGGCACAATGTACAGTCCTGAAAGTGCTGCCGTTTAGTGTTTGTGTGACATTGTGAGCAACGGTGCTGTTGATCTCTGAAGTGTGACTTTGTTGTGGTTTCCAGTTCCACTGAGACTGTGTGGCAGGAGGAGGATGGAGATCGGCGGTGTTGGTGGACTTATAGGCGGAGCCACACGCAGAGGTAGGAACAGATAAAGTGTCATGAGAAGTTGGGGGACTCTTGCTGTTTGTAGCATCAGGAAACCGCTTGGTGACTGCATCTGGCAGCCAGACGTCACCTTCTATGCAGAGTGCAGGAGCTTGATCGGCTGAAGCACCGTCAGCAGCAGCTGTGAGGTCACCGCTGTTTACAGAAACCTCATCATCTACACCTGTTTTAACATTTGCTGCTCGGATGCTGGACACATAAGCACCAACTTTGCCAGCCAACCTGGTATCATCACTGTGGCTCGATGAGCTTTCTAACTCCGTCAGCATGCTGTTAATGCTGTCATGTAGTGAGTTAACATAGTCCTGGACCGGAGGGCAGGGGTTGTAGAAAGACACATACTGTGAAAACTGAGATACAAAGGAGGGTGGGAGCATGTGTGAAGGTATGGTGGCTTCTGGGTTTGATGTGGAGTGTGGGGACTGTGGCAAGCTGTAATGAATGCTCTCCCCCTGCAGGAGAAGCTGCATCTCAGAGGCAAAGTCCCCCAGATGCTTGTCCACAATGCTGTCAATATCTCTGAGAGGATGAGTAGGGGATGAGGAGACAGATGAAGAAAACAAAGAGGCACCTACCAGGTCCTTTACTACTCCCTTTTGCACCCTTTCACTAACTGCCTCATGTGTCATGCCCACCACCTCCTCCTCATATTGCTTACTGTTTTTGGCTGCTTCCGCTCTCTGCTTTTTTAAGTTCTCAGCTGGCTGAGTTTGTTTCTCCTTCTCCAAAAGCCCTGCCTGCATCTCCTTCAGCCACCCTGTTTTCTCTCCTGTGTCCTCCTTCACGTGATCAGTGGGTGCTTGGGAGGGGATTGTATTCCCCTCTGGAGCTGGAGGGATACATGCAGAGATGGATGCTTCACTCTTCTTTTCTTTCCCCTGAGGTTTCTCTTCTCTGTCCTTGGACACTGCTGCAGTAGAGGGACCATGTTAGACTGGGGAAACATTATAAGCATACTGACTATAGAAACACTGGCTCCATTATTATTTTATCATCATTATTGGTCTAAAGTGCATGTGGCCAAGTCAGCAAGCCTAATATAGACAATGAGCTTACTAGGTGAAGTGAAACGACTGCAACCAATGATCAAAATAGTGGCTGTAGGACTTGCTAAAAATCACAGAACTGCTGGCATCAACCTTAGTCTGCTTCTTGTCATCTACTGGTTTTGGTCAACACTCCAAAAGGAAATAAACTTGGCTCAATTTTCACACAGAGTTAGAAACTATGAAACGTCCAATTTTTTATGTCAAAGATAAATATGAAAAAAAGAAAAAGAAAAAAAAAAAAAAAAACCTCAAAGCCGTGGGTTGCGTTGCAGTCTAAAACATGAACAGATGCAACAAGAAACCAACACAGGCCGACTGAGGTTACCTGCAAACTCCCTGAAGGCTGGGGGGGCTATCCGCCTCTTGTTAGATCCACTGTGGCCCCTGTTAAGTGCGTTGAGCTCATTAGGCTCTGATGACTTGCACTGGGAAGGAGAGGGGGGAGACCACTTCAGAGGGGATGGGACTTGGGAGGAAGAGTTGGGAGGACTGGGCTGTGGAGATGGGCACTGGGAGGGAGAAGTGGGAGGGCTAGGTGCTGGGGACAGGCACTGTGACCGAAAAAGGGGGGGGCTGGACTCAGGAGAGCTGGGGTCAGGTGATGGGCATTGGGAGGGTGAGGGAGGAGTAGTGGGCTCAGGGGACGGGCACTGGGAGGGGGAGGGAGGAGAGGTGGGCTCAGGAGATGGGGTGGGGCTTTTCCTGGGAGGTTGGGTTGTTGTGGTGACGCTTGTTGCTACGGTGAGGTGCTGGAAACGAGGGTCCTGGGGGGTGTTTCTGTCTCTTGGGGTGTACCGCTCTGAACACAGCCCTGCAGAAAGAGCTCAGAGTTAAGTTCATCTTCCATCTTTCATTCCGGTCACAACCTGTTCATTCATAACAGCCTCTAGTAGTACAGTAGTACAGCAAAGCATTTTGCACACTGGCTTATTAGTCCAGAATCAGACCTGTGACTAACTCTGATCATTAGTTAGTGTTTTTAATTCCAACCTACAAAACGAAGCTTAAGAGCTGTAAAGCAGAGGACAAAGAAGTCAGGATATGGTCCCCTGAGAGTATGGAAGAGCTTTAAACTGGACAGACTGGGAAATCTTCCATAATGGCATGTTGAAGTGGACCTTCTACATGTTTTGACTGTTTTTGTTGTATAACCTGACTGGGAGGACAGACCTGTTATGGGGATGAGGACCCATGGGATCTCCCATTCTTCCTCCTCCTCTTCGTAGCATCCTGCTCTCTTCCCCATTCCTCCTCCTCCTCTGAAGGCTGCTCCATAGTGATTAATCTCCCCGCTGTGGGAGCTGGGACTGAATCCCTCCAAACTACTGATGCTGCCCGCCGTCTGTTCCTACATATACAAAACCACACACTATGTGAACCCCCAAACCCAAATATATTCATGCACCATCAAGTACGACAAAGAAAAGCATGATATCCTCACATTTTAAAAACTTGAAGATTGAAAAATGTCTGAAGTCATTCAATTGACAATCAGAATTACTTTCCTATCAATCGACTAATGGTTGTGGCTCTAAATTTGAGACCTCCACTGAGGGAATGTGTTGCAGCTCCTCGACATGATGTTGATAAGGATCGAAAGCCTCACTACCAAACCAAAAAACTAGAATGCTCAACTGTGTGATGTATCATGCTTTGAATGCATGTCCACAGCATCTTTATGTAGCTGTACTGTATGTAAAGAACATGCAACAACAACTCAAAACATTTTTTAACAACACCAACTCTTGCAAACCACAGGCAGCTGTTCTCACTATGTATCTACACAAATAATTTGTGGAAAAGAATCTACAGAGCTATAATGTGTGCCAAACAAACAGTTACCTCCAGCTCTTCCTGCCTCCTCAGGTCAATGTCACAGTTGGTGGGTAGGCCCAGCCTGGTGGCCAGCCTATCAAACGGACAGGAGTCTCTCTGCTGCTCCTCCGGCACCTCACCAAGGTTCTGACCGGCTGCTCCCGTGGCGGCCTGGTTCAGGCCTGTCAGAAACAGAGTAACATTCATTTTCAGAGATCTGTTTTTTGTTTTATCAAGAGTTCTACCTAGTGTTCTGATCTAATCAAGATGTGAATGGTGAAAAGATGGAGCAACTTTGCAGCACCAAATAAACCAAAATTGTCCGAACAAAGCAGCTGAAAACAGCAAAAGGCATATGAATGAAATGTTGAAGGCTCCACATGTCCTGTAGCAGCTTGTGTGCACTGCCTAACAAAGTCTCAGTATCCAGTCACCCGTCAGCAGGCTGAGAAGTCTGGCAGCAAGTTCAGATCCATCTTCCCTCAGATCAATATCCTTCAAACCCACTGAGCCAATCGCAGATGCGAGAGAGCCTGGAGGGGCGGGGACTTGCCTTCCCTCATCTGGGAAATAAAATCAAAATGAAATCTAAATGAAAGATGCACAATAAAATCAAAAGACTAAAGAAATTATTAACTGTTGTTCAGAGAGAGGTCTTCAGGATATCCTTTGTCCCAGAAACCTCCTCCAGCTTTTCCCACAGGCTTTGCCAGAATTTTCTGCATAAGTCTCCTGGTTGGATGTGCCTTGGATTCCTCCACAGGGAGGTGTCAGCAAGGCTGCTGCACATAGTTATTACATGTACACGCACATGCAGTTTGTGTGTCTGTGTGCCTAAATTTTGATGTGCTTGTGCCTTTACAAGTACGAGTGTAAGAGAAAACGTAATTTTCTTGCATCCTACGTGAATACTTAAAGTAGGATTTGGCATTTACTGTCACTGGACAAGGGGCCCAAGAAAACCTGAAGCTTTTCACTTGGGGCAGTAACTTGCTACTGAGACCGGTTTGTCCACGAACTCAGACATTATGTTCTATAGCCTTGTTTCGACCAAAGGAACAGGAACCTTTTGCGGAACTTAGCTCCTCTGCCTGCGTTTCCACCGGAGGAACCAGAGACTAAATTCAGTTAGTGGATGTAGTTCTAGCCAGGAGTAGTACTTTCTGAGGATCCAAGAACTACTGAGGCGAGGCCTGCAGTGCTGAACATTGCTGACTGGTCAAATGCCCCACAACATTTTATATGCAGCATTCATTCTTAACACACTTCTGCCGAGCATTGCGCTTTTGATATGCTAATTTGTTTAATCTTCCCAGGGCTTTGGCCCTGCTGTGGAAATTCAAATCACAATGCGCTCAAGGGACCTTTACCCTGGGGAACATTCTTGGACTTTAGTTCCTGGGAAAAGTACCAGGAACCTTCGGGTGGAAATGCACCAAAGGCGAATATTTTTCGTAACTAGGGTTCGGTCACCAAAGTCCCCTGACTTGACCTAAATGAATGAATGAAAAGTGGCTGAATTGCTAAATGCAGTGAAAACATGAGCATGAACTCCCCAAGTCATGTCGGGGCACATAGCTATAGTCTTTCCAGGCCAACAGCACACTTAGCTGTGACAAGGGCTACAGTGCAGAGGAAACTGGCCATGCAGCAAGCAGCAATGTTTGGAGTCAGTTGGTGCGAAAAATATATTTGACTATCCTTTCAGTCTATGGGTCTTAGGGGGTTATTTTAACAGAGGGAACTTGTCTGATAACATTTTACTGTTGTCTTTTCTGTGCCTTCTACATTCAGATTTCCAATTCTTGTCTGCTAACCTGGAATCTTGTTGTGTCTTCCAGGTTGCTGCGATGCCTTCAGGAATTTAAGCGTCCTCTCTGCCGTCTGCTGTTCCAGCCTCCTCTTCCTCCCTGGTGCCTTCAGCCCTCCATCTCCCCCTTCCTCCCTCCTCACCTCATTTTCCGCATTCTTCTTACAATCCATAACCAGGTCTATCAACTGCTGCATCTGAAAAAAAGATCACACATTTGAGTTCACTGTGGACTAAAAGGCTGACATAACAAAAATAAATAAAATCTGAAGGGAACTTGGTATTTTTAAACAGTCATCATTTCACCAGATGTCAGTTTTTACCTTTTGACTATTGGTCTGTTTGTCTTTAGTGCCCATTGCCTCCTTCCCCATTGCCTCCTTCTGGTATCCAGAGCCCTTCCTGGGCCTCACCTCTTGTAGCACCTCAGACCCACAGTGTGCTTCCATAATCTGTCTGGCATGGGACACTTTCAGCTGGTAAAGGACAGGGATGTACAGGTAGGAGCGCAGGTAGCCTTCCATGTTCACCTGGTGGTGTTTGGGTATAACAAACTGTTTTCCTTGCTCATCGTACTCACCGATGGAGTACTGTCGAAACTGGAAATCAAAGACAGAAAGATGTGCTCTAATATTACAAGGAATGATTCAAGATCAAATGACAGACGTATTTACAAAATGCACTCAACATGACGATGCAGCTGTGCACAAAGTCGGGTACATAAAGACATGTTTTCCCAGGTTGGTGTAGAAGAACTGGACCGACTTGCACAAACCCTTGACCTTAGCCCCATCCAGCACCTTTGGGATGAACTGGAATTCTGACTATTCCAAACACAAGCACCAAACAATAATAATGCTTTTGTAGCTGAATGAAAACAAATCTTTGCAGCCAGGTTCCAAAACATGGCATAAAGTTGAGATCTACATGTATCCAAAATTTGTGATCTCAGGAAACCCTGACACAAGAACAGCCAGACCTGATCCAAAGGATCCGAGGATAATCAGATCACATCCAAAATACATTTGATCAGAACAGAGAGAGAAAACAAAACCACGAGAGCAAAAAGAATTAGTGTTACTGTTGTTTGCCTTCATCAACCAGTCAAGTTCACAGGAATGGGACAAATGTGAGGTGACAGAAATCTTGACCACCAAAATGTAATCAGCTCATCCTTGAATCCAAGTCGATGTTTGTGTCAAATTTAAAGAAACTCGAGGGTATCCTGAGATGATACATTCACCAGAATGGGACAGATAGACAACTAAAAACATTTGGCCACAGCAGTTACAAAAAATGAAAAGCAAAGCAAAGTGATATTACTGATGTAAATAAATAAATGTATTATTTCCACCTGTTCAACCGACAATAAAACATTCCACAACCAACTGTGCTATAGACAAAAACAATGTTCTAACCTGTTTAATACAACAGAAATCTGCAGGCGACTGATTTTCCTAAAACAAGCATGCCTTCAGTTCCCTCATCAACACAAAGCTCCAGTGTGTCGATACCACATGTGCTCAATTCGTAGCCACCTAGGTATTGAACCTACTGACAGAATGTGCAAATTTGGACCTGGTTCCTTAAAACCAAGTGGGCCTGTGGCAGCACATGACAGCTAACACATAGCATTTGGATACGTCAGTATTAATGACTAATACAGCAATAACCCCTCAGTGTTTACAAGTGATTGAATGTCTTGGACCGTATGGTATCTTCCAGCTTCTGACTGGCTGAACACACCCGAGCCAGGTAATCAGCAGCAGGTCAGGCAGGGATAGTTGGAAAACAAGCAGGACAGCGGCCCTCGAGGACTGGAATTGGCCACCACTGTCTTGGACAGTCACCTGACAAGTGGCCATTCATGACATTTAGGGAATCAGCATGAAGTGAGCCTCTGTAGCTCAGTGTGCACCTAGAGACTCACAACTGCATTAACAGCAAATCTAATGAAGATTGTGCCAAAGCCTCCTGTGAAAAAATACAAACAGAAATCTGAGTGTTTAAAGAGACTCTGGTTGTACCTTGTCATCAGTCAAACTGATAAAGTATTCCTTCATCAGCTGCTCCACACCAACAGACAGCTCAGCAGGGGGGTTGGCGCGGGCCTTGATGAGGGAGTGGTGCAATGCTGGGATAAACTGCCTCAGCTGTGGCATCACCATGGCACCAGACATTGATGACTCTGAGCAATCATGTGAAGAGGACGCCCACCTTGATGCTACAGGCAGAAACAGGAAAGCATTCATACCTCCATTAGGAGATGCTCCCATGCAGCATACATCCTCTTATTATATTCTTATATATTTTTATTATATCTCTGCATTTGCTGCTTAAAGTGCCTTAGATTTTGTGTTACTTATTCATCTACTTTATATTTCATTTGTATTTTGTGGCATTGATGTGTAAGAATTTCATTGTACAGGGAAACACGTTTCCTAACTGTGCATATGACAAATAAACACTTTGACCTTTAACCCTTTAAGGTGTTGTTTAACCTCTACAGTTAATTCTTTTGTGTTTGTTAAAGGTGCAATAAAATCTGCATTATTTATATTAATTAATTAATTAATAGGGCAGCACGGTGGCGCAGTGGTTAGCACCGTTGCCTCACAGCGAGAAGGTTCTTGGTTCGGGCCCCACCTGGGACCTTTCTGTGTGGAGTTTGCATGTTCTCCCCGTGCTTGCGTGGGTTCTCTCCGGGTACTCCAGCTTCCTCCCACAGTCCAAAGACATGCAGCTTAGGTTGATTGGTGACTCTAAATTGCCCATAGGAGTGTGTGCGTGTGTGTGGTTGTTCGTCTATGTGTTAGCCCTGCGATGGATTGGCGACCTGTCCAGGGTGTACCCCGCCTTCGCCCGATTGCCGGCTGGGATTGGCTCCAGCCCCCCCGTGACCCCGTTCAGAAACTAAGCGGTAGAAAATGAATGAATGAATGAATTTATATTAACAATGTATATTCAAATGTGTACTCTACTCAAATCTGTGGAGCCTCTTTTAGTTGATTCTTTTAAACACTGGACAGTGGATAAAAAAAAAAAAAAAACTGTACGAGTCACCCACCCACCCAGCAGTGCCTGTGTTACTCACTGGCTTGGGACACATCTCTGGTCTCTGGAAAGACAAACAAGGCCTGAAGACACCTCTTCCAGCTCTCTCCTCTCTCTGGAAATACAAAGGATAGAATGAAAGTGTTGCAAGAGTTACCTGTCCACTTTCACTTTGCTACGATTAATTGTTCTTTAAAAAAAAAAAAAAAAAAAAAAAACTTAACACCAAACTTTACTGATGAATTTTCACCCTCAATACTTCAGTGTTATCTCACTAGCTTCATACAGAAAACTGCCATCTTATAAAATCTGGTCAAAAAGAAGATTTGGTTTTGATGGGCTGGAAGGCATGTTGCTGGTTTCGGCTGGTAGCGGTCTATGGCTTCCTGAACCTGGATTGGTTGTGTGGAATAAATGTTACATTTAAGTGTGAACCAGCCTAAATATGAATACACAGCATGCTTACCGTTTTGATTACTGGTAAGCGACTGTGATAAAATGGAATGATGCACTCCCTCGACTTGTAGTGAAAATAAAAACCTAAAGTACAGAAGCATTAGAGGCTCATTAGCCTCAGTGTTGTGTTTATCTTTCACTAACCACTTGGCTCGTGACAGGTTAGCCTCTACATAGTTTACCAGTACACCACTCATACCAGTGGGCGTGGCCATCTGCACACTGGAGAGTAGAAAGAGAAATCCTCTCTCTGTAAGTGGAGTCACCAGAACCTGTAGGGAGAACAGACGTTTAACACTTCTCATCTAATTTCCCTTCAGTCTCCCCTTCACTTCTAGTTCTTTTCTTCTGACGTTCATCCAGTCTTTAGTAACACTCTAACAGTTCATTCTCTTCCTGTTGCTTCTGCTGTTATAGCTAGCAACTTTTTGTTTTTAGCAATAACATGTATGTTCTCCAGAAAATGTACTTTTCTACTTAGCCTTATTTTTTAAAGCTCTCTGCTGGGAGAATCATTACCTACAGCAGATATTTATAAATCCCAATGTCTTTGAGACTGCAAGTGTGACACATAAATGGTTAGATTCTCAAATGTAACCCTGTAGTCAAATAACGCCAAGCACAAAAAATAAAGGCTGGACACTGACAGAAAGGAAATAAATAAGACAATAAATTGTGGTGTACTATAATGATTACATGGTAAATTCCCTGTAATATAAAGTTCGATCAGTACAAAAACAAAGCTGTGACATCCTCAAAATTCTGTGGAGTTTCCCTTTTATCAATAATACTGTTTTCATTCAATAAATATTTCAAGTTACTCCTACTTTGCCCTTTTCTCCACTGTTGTTAAGTTACTCAGTAACACTCAACCCACACAGACTTTTCACAATAAAAGCCTCATGCTAAAAGGACAGTTTATGATCATGGAAGTGTTTCATTAAATTTATCAAAACAACAGATGAAGATGGAAAACATCTTCAGCGGGCATTAAAAAGGGAAAGTAAAGACAAAGTAGGAGTAAAGACAACCTATAATATCCGTCTGTTTCAAATAAAGGCCTGGTTCGGTTAAGTGAGCAGAACCCACCACTCTCTTTATCTCCAGTTCCTGCAGCAGTATTGTGATGCTGGTTGTTGACCGACTTCTGTCATTCACCTCCAGAAGACTGCAACAATGGCCGTTCTTCACAACTACACACAAAAACACAAAATCAGACTGAGTTTTTCTTTTAGCTTGGTGATACCATTACAGCAGTTAGGGAACAATACAAACGGCAAATGAACATTTTCTTCTTTTATACTTATTCCTGAAAGGACTGTTGGCCTTGTGTGTCATGTAAATACAGTTTCAAAAACACTGTATATTACAAATTAACAGCTACACGAATTTCCTCATGTCAAAATGGTCAAATTTAAAAAATATGGGATGGTATCACAAAATAATGTTTTTATGTGACTTCACTTCAAAAGCTGCCTTCAAAATCACACCAGTGTGTAGTGTCCCATCAGTCGTGAGGCTAGTTCACCTTCTTGGCTGCTGTTGTAGATGTTGTAGGAGAACACGTCGGAGTGGACAAGCTTGGACATCTGGTCAAGCCTCATCAAATAACCGATTTCCAACTTCTCTGGTCTGAAGAACATACAGGAGCAAATACACAGAGCAAATCATTTTACAATTTGATGATGAATATGATTTGATCCTGTCATCTGACGCTGTGCAACACAGCAAACAGGCACATTTTTGTTGCATCAAAGCTTTGCTGGAACAATCCGAGAAGTCGTTGAGTACTCACAGCTTGTGGGGCAGGAAGGGAGGAGAGGAGGAGCGAAGGGAAATCTGGTAGAGAAGCCGGTCGCCTTGAACCAAATCTCCCGACCACACTGTGAACTGAGCACGCTCTGAGAGAGCAAAACGCAATGAGAGAAATAGAAAAATGACAGCTCATCAGAGTCAAGCTCAGGGCAGGACTTTCTATTATGTCCAATATTCAGGCTGTATCCATAAACTTTAAGGTCAGATGGGATTAAATGGAAAACAGGGACCAGCACTCACCTTTACTCCCCTGTGCTGATTGGCTGTTCAACCTGTCCATCAAACAGAGCAGACAGAGAAGCTATCAGGTTTTGTGCTGTGATAAATACTGACTCATACAACACTTAGTGCCCAAAGCATCAGCTTAGATTTCTTTCAACTTAAGCCCATTTGCAACATGCCCTGTAGAACTGATGTCAATGCCAACTGTTTATAAAGCACAATAATCCAGATTTCTGAATATGTTCTGGAAAAAAAAAGTGAAATTCAAGGTAGCCAAGTTATTTTAGAGCAAGTTACATTAATGTTGCATGGTTATGCAATTGCAAACTGTATTTAAATGTCTGCTCTGCAACATGACACAAAAATCACTAGAGCTGCAATGAATACTGGATCTGTCACTAGAAAATGAATTAGCAACTATTTTTATAATCTTGTCCAGCCTCTTCTTTTAGATTTTCTTTGTTTTATGTTATTGTGAACTTAGCAGCTTTGGGTTTAGACTGTTGGTCAGACAAAACAACATCTGATGATATCACCTAGGGCTCTGGACAAATGTAACAGACATTTCCCCTCGCCATTTCATCTGCGCACGGTGCACTGATTCGCTCAGCCAGTCCTTGCCCCACACACTCTCTCTCTCTCCCTCCCACAAACACCCACACACACAGACTTTCTGTGAATAGCTCCTCCTCTCTCTGTCTTTGTTTTTCCACAGTGCTGTAAATCGCAGAGATCTAACTCTTCTAACAAGTTATTAGCAAGCAAGTAAGGCTAGCTAGGTTAATGCTAGAACAACTTACAGCTGTTGCCACGGTTAGCATGCTGTATATTATAGCTGTTTATTGCTCTGCAAGTGAAAAATGTTAATATAAATTCTTAAACTCTGACACAGAATGTTTGCTCCCTCAGTCCAGAGGAATATTGAAAAAATAGTTTTCTAGACTCAAAGGACTCTTCCTGAAGAGGTGCAGACCGTCTGGACTAAATTTAATGTTAGAAACGTAAGAAAACGTGGGACAGCTGAATTGGTCTGACCTTTGTTGCAATTAATTAGTTTCAAATATTTCCAGGCTTTTCCAGGCTTTCACTGAGAGCTGGGAGGGATACAGTTTCCACATCTCCATACCTGATGGGGGCCAGAGGTTTGCTGGGGAGTGCCGAGTCTTTTCCCTTAAACTGGAAGGATACAACAGCGTATGGACAGACCTGGCGAGGCCGCGGCCGCAGCTCATCGAACAAATACTCGTAGAAGTAGTGCTGAAAGAAACAACAGTACAACAGTGTGCAATGCCACACTCTGCTGCCTCATGTGACCTGTCAGTACATTTTAGACTAATTTGCTTCTCAAATCAGATGTGAACTTGACTCCTCATGCAAACACATTTATATCTGTCATCTGAGATTATATATAGGATTTTAGTTTGACATTAGTCAATACTGCTGTTTCTGCAACACCTTGACCCCAACATGACCTTCAGATAATTGACAGCAGCCAACTAAAAAGTCATGTTGCATACTGCTGCATTAAATTATATTTCAAGTGCGGTAACATCCAGGGAAACAGTCAGTTTCTCAAACTTTATGAGTTGCTTTTGTAAGACAGTTCTGAGTCCACAGATACACAGGTGAATTTCCTGTGTGTGTGTGTGTGTGTGTAATTACCTGTGTGAGTTCGAAGGCTCGGTACGAGGTGAGCGAGGTGACTTTGCTGGTGTTCTTAGAGATGTGACTGTCGAAGCGCGGCGTTGGATCTAGAAGGTTCTTCATGTTTTCATAGATGCTCTTCACTTTCCCCTGAAAACAAAAATAAACACAACTCAACTGTCAAAAACTGTTATCTTTCCTATCACTGTCAAAAGATTAGAAACATGAATTAATTAACATTGACATATGGTGACCTGCAGCCAACAAACACTGTAACAGGTGAAAGCAACAGTGGTGGATTTTAAAAAGCCGTTTCGTAAACTTCTCTTTGCTGATAAAGACGAGAGAATTAGATTTTGAGATAGTATCTACCAAACTTGATCACAACTGTGACTCACACTGGTGCTCCCAAATTAGTTTTCACATTCACACACACTAATTTCGACTCACATATGCAGTGAAATTTAGCACTGCAGGCTGTTGTGAAGAAGAGCAGCAGTGCAACACTAGCAGGATGAGGTGGACAAAACACAATTCAGTTCAGTAAAGAGAGCTGGATTTTGATTGGCTCCATTTAGCTGATAGAGTTCACTGAAATGTGATCAGTTACAAATCCTAAGAATTACCCTGGACACCTCTAGCTATGTCACGTTTCCTGCCTTTTACAGGTCAGGCAATGACGATGATGATAATGACCATCAGCCACATGATTTACCTTCATCACTTTGAAGATGATTATTTCCCCCGTGGTTCCAGGGCTGAAGGGGTTAACCTGGAGCAGGTCTGCGTACCTGGATAAATACACTCCTAGAGACAAACACACACCCCAACAAAGAAGAACAATTTATATCACAGGTTAACTGTCTTTCCACCTGGCACTAATTTTCTGTCTAACTCATGTGACTGCTCCTTTCAGTGGACAGAAAAAAAATCTCTGAATGAACAATAAACTGAAAGAAAAAGGTTTAAAAAAAAAAAAAAAAAAAAAGTTGGGCTATTTATTAGCCTTTTTCTTTTCAGTT